AGAATTATACCCTTAGTACTTTTTGTTGCCTTTTGCTTGTATTCAGTACTAAATATACAATCCTGAACATATCTATTCTTGTATGCAACTTAGTTCTATGTAACAGTATACAGGTTTTCAATTTAAATATTTCCTTTCTTTTTATACTGGGACTGTATATGCAGCTTGTAGTAAAACTGGCGTTTGCTCTCTTGTTTTTTAATAAACAGAGTGGCATTTATTCCATTCATCTCTTTGTACTTTTTAGTCTGAAACAAAATGATAGTTCTTAAGACATTTTTCACTGCAGATTTAGAGGACAAATTCTAAGAGTATTTTGAAGGTGATAAAGTTGCAAAAGAGAATGCATTAGTGAAGGATTTGTGGTGCTCATTTTTCTTACTCTGTGAAAAAAGTGGAATGTGCCACATGTTGCAATTTAGAGTATCAGAGACTCTATCCCATTCCCCTCCCTGTTGTTTTCTGAGCTCCCCATTTAGCCAGTGTTTCGTGACTACTTGGTGAGCATGCTTAGCCTTCATTGGGCTAAGTTGGAGAGATGGCTCTTCCTTAGGGTTCCCTCGCCTCTGGTTTTTCTTTCTTCTGCAAAATTGGGCTGTCCCTCAAACCCTGCAATATCATCCTTTTGTGTGTGGAAGATGTCACTAGGGCTACATAAGGACTGGCACTTGGACAGCTGAGTTCACTCTTCGTGTATGTGTACATATTTATATACCTGTATCTGTATCTCTGTGTGTACATGTATAAATACATATATACACACCCATATATAGATAGATGGAAACGTACACACACATACACACGACTTCCTGGTTTAAGTCAAGCTTTCCAGTGGATAACATTCCCATGAAAATTTTAAAACATGTGCACACAACACTATCCTAAATAACTCTTGCCTTACTAGAATGTGTAACTTGAAACTTCTCTATTCTGAATGTTTTTCCCATAGATGTTTGGAAACTGGACTTTTGGGACACTGGTGTTCACTGTACTAGTATTCACCGTTACCCTGAAGGTATGATCTTCTGAATATCATCTGCTAGAACTGAACTAGTTTCACTCTTATAAGCATATTATCTATGAGCAAAGACTCAAATGTTTGAGGCCCTTTAATTTGTGGGTGGGGGGAGAACTAAAAATGGAACATGATAGAATTTCCTGCCAAAGGCTGTGACAACATGTGCTAATTTGGATACACTTAAAAGTGGAGTAGACAGGTTTGTGAAGGACAGCTCTACCCATGGTTATTACCATGTACAGAGACAACATGCCACTGATAACCAGCTGCTGGGAAGTAACAAAAGAAGAAGGCTGATGCCTTCCTGCCTTGCTTATGGGCCTTATGGGAAGTAGGGTGCTGGACTAGATTGACTGCATGTGATTGTGTCTGCAAATCCAGGAGTCATGTGCACACGCATTCCGGCAAGATTCCCAGGCGCTCACAAGAAGTGGCCTGTTTTGGCGGGACTGATAGCTCAGACTGAGGATGATGTGGAGTTGGCTGAACCAGACTAGGCTCAGAGTTCACACTCTGATAACAGAATTGTTGTTGTAACAGACAGGCCTCCACCTGCGCACACCCCCCCCCGCCCTTGCCCCTCCCCCCCACACACACAGTGCCAGTCTGAGCCAGTTCTGGATGAAAGTACCTCAAGGACACCCATGGGGCCCAGTCTTCCTCCCACCTGTGGGAATGAAGCAGAGGGAGGAGATTTGGAAACGGGGAATCTCTTGGATGGAGAATGCCAGCCTCCTGAAGGCAGGGACCTGAGGGCCTGTCGTCACAGCCGCAGGCTGGCCCAGTTGGGAGGTCAGAGTGCCCACATTGCCCCTCTTTCCAAAGACAGGCCCCAGAGGGTCCATAAGCGAAGCTTTGGGTAAAGGGAGGCAGAGAGGGTTCAGCATCTCTTTGCATATGCTCAGAGGCTTGTGAATGCTTAGAGTCTTCTATGTAGAATAAAGAGGCTTACAAGAAGTGCTGGAGAGACTGTCTTGTTTGGGAGGGAACACCTAGCTCATGACTCCAGGGGGGCTTCCTTGTGTAATGGGGCCTTTGCACTTCTAAAAATAACCTGGAACAAGGAGATGCACCCATTTCCAGAGCAGAGCAGAGCAGATCAATTGAGCTTGCAGAAGAGAAGTCTACTGAGCTGTTTCTGTCAAGTAACTATCATTCCTGTTTGTTTCTTGGGTTATTTTTAAAAGTGCATAAGCCTCCTTGCACAGGAGCAGCAATCTGCATGCCTAATAAAACCAGAGAAAGCAGCAGCAGCCCAGTTGGATGCTGCCATTAGTCTCATCCAGCTGAGCTCTTCTCATTCTCCTGCCAGAAATACCTTCTCTCCACAGAGGACCTTCCACCCTAATCTGCTTAATGGTTTGTGATTCACTTTTCAGTTACTGTTGGATGAGGATCTAGTGATGCTGTCTTTCGGGACTCAGTGTTCCTTCTCCTAAATAAAGTATTTATGGCACAAGAAATAGTCAATGTGTCTTTCATCCAGGGCTTAATTTGAGGCAAAGCTCAAACTTATAGCCTATTCTTAATGCCTATGAATTTCACATGAACAAAAGTGGTTCTAAAATTATGTAGAACATCTCTGCTTGCCAGCCCCTGCACATACAACATTACTGAGTAGTGATGCCTATGGCCTTTGGGCAGGCTTGAATTCTGGCACTTCTTTTGTTTAGAACAAGAGTGTACAAATCTTTTGATTCCAAGGGTTGCATTGGGTGTTGGCTGGAGGTCACACATACCTGTGCACCCAAGCACCTGTGCACTCACCTGCTCTGTCATGCATTATGCTTCAGGTGTTGTGGGAAATGGGTCAATCCCACTTCTCGGAGCCCTGATTACTATGTTCATATCTCTGTTTTATGGTGAGAAGCTTGTGATTTGGGCTCTGTCAGGGTCAGCAGGAGCGTTCCTCCCTTGCCAGCAACTCTAACCTAATTGCTCTCTTGTCAGCACTATTAGCACTGGTAAAGGAGCAATCTGGACTGCTTTGGGATTGTGGTTGAGGAATGAGACAGGTATGGTGTTGTATTTTGGGGTGGGTAGCAGCTGGGAGGTCTGAGAAATCCAATTGGAGGACCTCAGTGGCTGAGCTTTTTACACTCCTGGTTTAGAACAGAATGATTGATGCCTACCTGAGCGGCTGAATGGTGATTCTAGAATAAGTTTGCAGAAGTGGCTTTTGAGGAAGGAATTAGAATAGCTGTCCTTCAAACACATCAAGGAATGTAAGAGAGCTGGGAGATTAAGCAGTCAAAACAGAATTAACAAATGTGGAGAGGCAAAGGAAAATAAAGGAAGAGGGGCTAGAAAACTGGCCTTAGTACGTGTTGACATAATTGTTACAAACTATACTCAGGTTTCTTGTTTTGTAAAAGGACAGAATTTATTCATCACAATTGTTCTGTAAGTTTAAAAGTTAGAGCAAGTACATGTCAGAGTTCATGTTGCAAAGTTTGTTGCTAAGCCCAGCTTGTTCAGAAAACTGTTAAATCACTCTAACTCATTTAACGTATACTAAACTGTCACTTTGTACTGTCACCCATCTAAATATCTTCTCATACAGCTTGCACTGGATACACACTACTGGACATGGATCAATCACTTCGTGATCTGGGGATCACTACTTTTCTACATTGTTTTTTCCCTCCTTTGGGGAGGGATCATCTGGTAAGAAACCAGTATGGAACATAATAACTTAAATGTCATCCATAAAATTACTGTAATGGATTATATATTGGGCAGAAGCGATACCTGAAGTCTCATCATGATAAAGCATGAAAGTTGTATCCTACTCTTTTTCAAGAAGCTCCGGCTGGTACAATTGATTCTTCCTTCTGTTTTACCCTTACAACAACAACGCTTTGAAGTTGTTTGTGCTGAGAAACATTGGGAAAGCTTGTATGTCAGAACAGCTGATTGTGGCAATTTGCCATGAAGGATTGCTAGGCCTACAGCGTATCTGCAGTGAGCCCAGCAAATGTTTGGGTTCATTGTGGGTACTTTGCTCCCTTCCTGCCCCTCCTAACTCCTCATTTCTCGGGGCATTGCAGAATAACAAGGCTCCTCTCCATCCATGCTGTTAAGCCAAGCCACTTTCAAAATAGGTTTCCTGATGTACAGTTAACTTATTTTTTGGCATCTGCACTTCATGCATGATACACTGTGCGAGTGCCAAATACTAAGTTAGCAACACATTGTGAAACCTGTTTTCAGGCATGTGAAAAATGGTTGGGGACCTCAAAAGATCTTGTTCAACTGAGACTTGGGGATTTGGGGGGGGGGGGTGAACATGCATTACCCCTGCTTCTGCAAGTGTGGATGTTAAGGTCCCTAAGACCAACAGCCTGGGAGACCTGCTGGGGTACCTTGCAGGGACAGCTTTCATAGTCTCCAAAAATGTTTGGAAAAAGGGATAAAAATAGATGCAATGAACCAAAACTGGTTCGGCTTTGCAAGTGAGAAGGGGGAACTACTGCCAGCAGCCCCTTAGTGCCACTTGGGAGAGTGGAAAGGGGTTTTTGCCACTCTCACCAAGAAGCTTGCTTGTACTTGGACTTGACTCAGACAAACAAAAGAACAGTCCATTAATCGTTATGGTGGGCAGTTTGAAAGAAAACCACCCACAGAAGAACATGGTGAGTTTCCATGTCTCGGCTACAAGCAGTTGACATGTTTTGCAAACCCAGTCATTGACTGGCTTAAGGCCATCCTGAAAACTGAGTGGATTTCAGTGTGGGTCTCCCTGGTCCTACTCATCACACACACATGTATGTCTTGGCTTGCAACTTCCTTGATCCCTCACCATTACCTTTGTAGAGATTATGGGAGTAGGTCAAAACATCTAGATAGGCAGAAGCTACCCACACCTGCAATGCACAATACATCTGAATGCTGCTGTCTCTCTGCTGATAGTAGATGATAGTACACCTAGCTTTCCATTTTAAACTGCGAGAATTTGAAGTAAGGCTATAAACCTCTATAACTGATAAGGAAAAAATACATATTTTGATCACAGATGTTCTTGGCTTGACTTGTTTTTCCTACCAGCCAGGTTTGATTCTGGTTTTCTTCCTCCCACTAGGCCTTTTCTGAATTACCAGAGGATGTACTATGTGTTCCTGCAGATGCTGTCTAGTGGTCCTGCATGGCTGGGTATTATTATGCTCATAATTGTGAGCCTTCTTCCAGATGTGCTGAAGAAAGTTTTATGCAGGCAGTTATGGCCCACAGCAACAGAAAGAATCCAGGTAAAATGCAGGAATCCAGTCTTAGTTGCTTTATACATTTATAGCAATTCATGATGAGTCCTTAATCTTAGAAAAGCTAAAGCTGGTATGTGTTCGGGTTAACCAAGGTAAAATTCAGCTATTTTCCCAGTATGTTTGGAATTATATCCTAGAGGCTATAAAATAATTCCATTGAGACTTCATTCAGACAGCTCTGACCATCCACACATATACTAGCACATGGGCAATAATTGATGTATGAACCAACAATGAATTTTCCCTGCAGCATCCCATATTTTCAGTGACAGATGATGCGCAACTGCAATCACAAGAACCATTGCAAATAGTGCTCACCTGAAAGACAGAACTCATATTTGCATGCCCCTGGAAGAGTCCCATTTTCAGTTATTTTTTAAGAGCAAGAAGGGACGTGAAAGTGTTCAGCCTCTTTTAAATGTGGACACCTTCTGAGAAATAAATCTTATGCAAATGAGTATTGACATCTTTGTCTTTCCTTTGTCAAAAGTTTAAAAAATCAGCTTGATATTTTATTACATAAATTTATATATCACTTCATTACCAGTGCATTCAAAGTTTCTTCCAGTTCAAAATACTGGCTTATAATATAGTACACATGGTACAAAAGCAAGGCAGGACAAGGAGGGAAGAAAATTCTAAAAGGGAATGTAAGTCCCAACTGTACGTACTAGTTTGCTCATGCACAGTACTTTTGCAAAGTAAAAATAAGTTATATGTTGACTATAATAAGAACAATTGTATATACATTATTATACTGACTATTTTGAAAATGTGCTAAATTTTGAATGATACATGTATAACTAGGATTTTCTAATTTTGAGAAAGGTTGTTTCTTTGTTTACCGTTTCAAGTGATTATTGATATAAAGCAGTTAAATATAATTTCATCATAATTTGGTTACATATTTTATCCTACATTTTAATTTAAAGCTGAAATTTAATTTAATTTTAATTTAAATTAAATTTTAATTTAATTTAAATTAAAATATTTTAATTTAAAATATTCTTACTTTACTAAGAATATTCTAAATGTCCTAAAATATCTATGTGGACACATTTCATAGTGTCAGATTAATTTCGACATCTGCTGCTTCTAATCTTTGGTCTAAGCTCAAATGAAGATCCCCTAACAATACAGTCTAGGACAATACTATCTGTATGCTGGGAGTTGTGAGGGATCATTTAATAGATGCTTTTGATCCACTTTTGATGCTGCAGGACATCTGTGTGTGTCCCTCTTCTGAATGGGGGAAGCATGTAAAATCCAGCCTGGGTTGTCCCAATTCAAGAAATCTGTTGTTGGGTATTTAAAGAGAAATTAGCTGCACAATTTAGGCTTAGACATAATTGGATTTTACATGTGTTGATCCTGTTCAAGTCTTACTTCCAGATGTGGATATATGTGGATGTCAGAGGCAAGACATGTGATCTTACTGCCATGCAATATGTATGCATGTGTTATTACTGTTAATAATAATAATTTAATTTCTTTACTGAGCCACAGTCAAAGTTCTCTGGGCAGCAATGCAGAAAAGGCCCATTTAGTTGGTCGTGCAGAGTAAGAGAGTTCTGCTAGCATTGAAATGAACATTTTAATCATTATTACCCTCACTTTTAAGTTCAGTTAATTCCAAGGGCTGATATCAAAGTTTGCAGCCAAGCTCAAATGTCAGCACTGGGAGAGGATGGGGCAGGAAAGAAGGGGGGAGAGGGTAGGCTGCCATTTAATCCTGAATTTGGCATCAAATATTATATACTACTCTATGGAACTAATAATATAAAAATTAGTGATAATACTGAACTTATTTATTTGCCTGAATACCTTTTAAGTTTCTATTAATAATAAACATGTTCTATCAACAATCTGAGATGACAAAAAACTGACACTGATAAGTTTGATATTTATAGAAGTTCAGCTGAAATGTAATCTTACGGCTACTTTTAACTTTAACCGTCTAAAAGAAGCCATTAGAATAATCTAAATATATGTTAAATATTCACCAATGTTGACTTTTCAAAAATATTACCATCTAGTAAAAATGTTATGAATGAGTAACATTCTTAATTTGCAACTCCTTGCTTTTTAGGGACATTACCAATTCTTAGGGTAATTTAGGGTTCCTTTTAAATGACAGAAGTGTATTTTCTTGAATCCATCACATTGCACTTAAAAATTGGTCATTCAGATTATTCTGTACATAGATTGTAGACGGGGCCAGGCATTCAAGAAGAAAAATTAAATAAGTGCTTGATAATACAGCAAGAGAAATAACTCAGTGCTGTTAGGGAAGTGAACTGTTCATGTAGAATGTGGTGGTCGCTTACACTAGTTGCTAATAGCTTACACTGTTCTGTGCCTGGTGCCATGAATTTAGTAAGTGATCTAAAGAAAAGCATAAACTGCAAATCTGCTTCTGTTTAAGGACACAAGAGCCCTGCTAGATCAGACTAAGTCCCATCTGCTCCAGCATTCTCAAAATGGGCGTCCAGATGCCTATGAGAAACCCTATGTTGGACTTAACAGTAATGGCACACTTCCACTTGTGTGCCCCAGCAACTGATTCAGAGAGTAATACAACCACAAATGCCAGAAGTATCATAGACCCATCATGCACAGCTGAGCCTACCCTTAGGTAGATGAGCCAACTTCCTTCAGGTGACAGATAGGTGTGGAGGCGGCGGCAGCACCCCCTTAGCTGTGCTTTCTGAGCCTGCAACCCACCATTCCCATCTGTTTGAGGGCAGAGCTGCATATTCTGTATAGCCTGTCCATGCCCTCCTGAACTAGCCTGTTACTTCAGGTATGACACATACTGTCCTCTTAGCTGCCACTAATTTGTTTGAAGTATGGGGAGGGGCACTAACCTCTGGAAGCAAAACGTCTTGGTTTGGCCCTGCTTTCATGGCCTGTAGCTGGTGATGATCTTTACTCCATTACCTGAGAGTAACTCTGCTGAACCCATTGGGCTTTACTTCTGAACAGATTGCTGGTAGAATGCATTGATGATGGGACAGTTGTGCTATGATTTTTAGGATGTCTTTGGTGACTTTGGTGACCATGGTTGGGCTTTGAACCTTTGAATCTTTGCTAATGTTTCTTCATAATATGCACTAGAAAGCTTTAGCATTTAATCAGATTTATTCCTTGTGTTTCTTCTTTTCCTGCTCCCAATATACTCCTGCCTTCCATCCAACTTTTCCTAAATAACTACTACTTTGCTTTAAACTATAAATGATGTACTCGGGTACTTCCATCAATCTTCTGGGGAAATCAGACTAAACATCAGTGCCTTTCTGTTGAGCAGTCTACCATCTTTATGCTTTCTCAGACTTCAAGCAGTCTAAGTTTCTAATGGAGCAAAAGGTGATTCTTTTCCTGCCTTTCTGCATGCTTGGCCATTTCATTCAGAAGATGTTAGAAGGTGCATTCACAATCATGAGATGTTAGTCATATTTCATATTCCCAAGTGTACTTTAAACCTCTCTGCACTTAAGATATTTTTCTGTAGACATTCCCTCTTTGGTTTTCTAAAAGTGTCTGTGTATCCTACTTAAGTCTGTGTACATTGTCATTTGTTGTATGTAAATAATAGCACAATAGAATAATTCCATTTCAAAGTAAATTTCTTTTTAAGTACCAATAGCTTTTCATTGATAAACGCACATGATATTTGCACTGCAAAGACCTCACTAGACCATTTGCCAAAAACAGATGTGATGGGAGCTTCTGGACGCCACAGGATGGTTCAGACATAATGCTGAACTATGGTTTTGCACAGTGCCTACAAGTCTGGCTAGACCTTTGCACTTCCCTGTCTCCTTCCTAAACCATAGGCAAACCATAGTGTGTCACTTTGTACAAACTAGCAAATGATGGATTCTGTAAACAAGGATAAGAAATCAGGATACTTTGTATTTGACCCATCCTGAACTTAGAATTTTAATTAGAGATAATTCTTGAACTTTTGTGTTTCAATTTTCTTAGTACAATTCTGACGTTTTCTAAATTCATTATGTTTCTCATGTTATCCTGTCCAGATGTTCCCATCTGTATTTGGTAAACAAGGACATTGCTCTCAGTGATTGCACAATTTTTAAAAACTCTCTTTTAAAGTCTGTCTCTTCTTTTGCTGTTTCTGTTTTGAGAGGGCTTGACATTAATATATATGTGCTTTGGGCTCTTTTAATTGGTGAATTTGCAAAAGCTTTGGAGGAATCTATTTCTTTTGGTGAAATTACAAGCCAATCCCCATTTCCTTTGCTGATTCATAGCTATTCCATGATGCCAGTTGCAGTATTTGTTTGATTTGAATCTTTAGCCGGGGATTATGTATGTGTTGTTCCATTTCCTCTTCTACCTGCCATATGTAATTATTCTGTTTTTACTCCAAATTTACATTAATGTGTCTTCATCATTTCTATTTAATATTATTCTTACTTTGTGTTTCTACTATTAGGACCTTTAAAGTAAACTTGGTGCCATTTAAAAAAAAATGTCAGTATTGAAATACTAGATTTCTTAATTTATATAAATATACTACCATTAACTTTAAGAAACTTTAAAAGTCTTCCAGACTTGTAATAAAACTCTGGACAGAATTTGAATCCTGCAACTGAGGTGGTTATGGTGATAACTGTGATCCATGTAGTGATCCATTGTACCCATTAAATGGACATGTTAGACATTATCCTTCTACTTAAGAATATAACTGGTCCTTTCGTGAAAGAAGAAAGAGGACTCATTTGCAACTGGGGCAACTATTGTATGAGCAGGCTGATCCAGATGGTTCTCTCAAAAGCAGTTGTTTTGCCATAAGAGGTAAGCAAACTGTTTCAGTCTAGACAGTTTGTATCTGTATAATATACAGGTATTAAGTCTGAGAGCACTGGGGTCTCCAGAAATTTAATCACACATTAATGAAGTTCACAGTTCTCACAACAAATAAAATAATCAGGTTATAAAATAAAAGAAAAATAATAGTGTTCAACTAGGAATACGGTTACAATTGCTTGATAGTTTGTAGTTTGACATGTTCATATCAGTTTCAGTGTTTTTCCTCATCCTTGCAGAGGAGTATGAAACATAAAACAACTCTAAATGCCCTGGCGAACAACGATGGGCCACTCCTTGAAGGAACCTTTTCTGCTTCCGAGGCATAATTAAATCACTGATAGGTAACAGTATTGCACGTGTTACCATTTTGGCAATTTCTGTTGGTATGCTGTGATATTTTCAAAGAGAAAAATGTTTCCTCCAGAGTTTTTGCTGTGCTTTACTAAATGAAATTTGTTTCCTATAGTTTGGGGTATTATAGTATGTTTCCCATGTATTTCAGAGCACAGGTAAGTGCTTGAAGTTGGATTGTTTGGGTTTGTGTGTGCGAGTTTTCCTGTAAACATTAGGATTTAAGAATCAATGTATTTTGTTTTGACTTTTGCATTTATTCTAACAGGGCTTTATGTGCTTCTATGTATGATGGGAGCTGCTTTCATTAAATATGGATTTCTAGTATTGTGAGTCAATGACTAGTGAATGAACTGCTCCTTCAAATAACGTATAGTAGCTGGCATATAGGATAAAATGCACATGAAGTCCCTTACAGAGTGTTTGGATTCAGCTTGGCTAGTGATGACTGTAAACATGATTAAAAGTACACTTCCCCGCAAGTATTGTTGCATAATTTCAACATACTATGACTTCATGGCTGTCTTACTAGCTTGCCTGCTTCCTTGACTATAGAATTGTGATAAAGCAAACTTTTTAAGGCACCAAACTTCCCACTAAGGAGCTGTGCAACAGATAACTTCAGAACATCTGCACATCAGATTTCAAAGGATCAATTTCCATATTACAAAAAGTGGTGAAAAACAGGTGCATACACATATGGACTTCTCTCTTAGAGAACGTTTGAAAGTTTCCTTTTTGAAACATGTAAGGTTGGTTGCACCTTTTATTTTGCTACATTTATTGTAATATGCAAAACACTTTCAGAAGGTTGAACACATTTTCCAAGTGCTACCAATTCACCAAGATTCCTAGAATATCTTCCACCCATCAGCATGCTTAATAAAAGATTTGAAAAGTCTGTTAATTTCACTACCTATTCTGCTTCAGCTCTGAGCACTACCTAATTTAGGCTGAGGAGAATGTTGGATGTATGCATTAACTTGTCAAGTTTAAAGGCAGTTCTATTACTACTCTCTTTTGAAATGTGGAGGAAACTTATCAAGGATACCAAACATCCAAATATTATGAATTATGTCATTGAAATGGAATACAAGGAGTGACTTATGGCTAAGTAATGTATTAAGCTTGAACCAAAAATCATTCAACAAAAATTGTTCCTCCATTGGATCTAACTGCATTTTAAATAAGCCAAACAGTTGTTCTCTATTGTAATGTGTATCTGTATATCCTCATGTGTGTGTCCTTTTGAGGTGAGAAATAACATTTTGAAGATTTTGTTAGTTTATTGATGCCTACTTCATAATCTTACTTGTTTTCTTGACAGAATGCATCAAGTTATGGTCGGGACCATATATCAGAATTCACACCTCTTGCCTCTCTGAAGAGACCAAGATACAGGAGTAATGACTGCAAGAATTCCCCAGCTAGAAGGTCTAGTTCTCATTCTAAAAAAACAATGTTTACACATTGGAGAAATCATGATTATTCAGTACTCCCGTCCGTCTTTGGGTTTTCCAATAAGCGTTGCAATTCTAGCGCAGGGCACTACCACAGGCGTTCAGGTTTAGAAACATCCCTGTGACAGATCACCAAGTCAAGCCTTTAACAACTACAACTATTTCTCCCCTTGCCTCCACCCCCCAGATGACCACTTAACAGCACTGGGATTTTGTTGGCTTTCACTGTCTGGTATAATATTCTGACAAGCTGGATCAAGAGCACTGAGAACAAATCCTTCCAAGAGTATTGGCCATTCTTTCCATGTTTAAAATGGTTGAAGCAATGGATTATTTACACAGTCTGGCACTGTGAGAATGGACAGCATTATCATTTCACTTACTTCTCTCGAATGCTTTGTATGGTTATTCCTTCCTTTATTGAAGAATCCTGTTTCAGTCAATGATCTTCTTTGGAAATCAGATAATTAAATTTTTGTCTGTCATAAGCAATGATATCAGATCCTCCAGTCGATGAGAGCATATTCACAGGTGCTGTTTCTGACTTTTGTCCTTTCTTTGCCCTTTCTGTAGAACAAACTGGTGTTTCCTCTGTGCAAATCTGCTTTCAAGAAACACTCTCTAATGTCCATTTTATTGTAAGTCTCCAAGTAGGACACTATCCGAGTTCAAGATTGTGCTTTTTTCCTATAGATCAATACATCTGTATGTAGTTGCTGTACAGATCTTAAGAAGTCAAGCTGGCTCTCAAATGTGTGAAATGGCCATTGCAGGTATTGAACTGAAAAGAATTACTGAATTTAAAATTTCAACCTTAGAAACTTGTCAGTAATAAATAAACCAGTTCCTACTATTTTATCTATAATATGGAGAATGTTGGAAGTGTTTTGCTACCTGTGTCATTGTCTGTGCTGTCAGGATGTAAGAATGTAATTGGCCCCTTAACCATTTAACACAAAGATACTGTGTTTTACTTGTAGATACTACTTTCTGTTTTAATTATACTTTAAAAGCATTAAGGAGATAGATGTAACAGAAGACCCAATGCATTATAAAGATGCAGCTTTGTGACTGTTTCTATTAGTTAATAACCACTAGGTGGTATTCTCTGCCCCCCTCTTTGAATGTAAACCTGAGCATTCACACACAAAAATGCAAAAGTTGTATCAGTTGTTTTGAATAATTACAGCCAGCTTGTACTTCAGCTCTACCTGTGGTCTAGTTTTGCTTTCTACTGGTTTGGATGGTGGCAAACACGTACAAGTTTTGTTTCTTTTCTCCAAGTGTTTTATTTAGGGTGTCAAAATTGCTGAAGAATAGAAACTGAAGAAGTGTCAGCTATGAAGTGGGGAATACAGGTTCCCTTTTGCAGCTCCTAAGCTGAAAAGAGTAGAGTGAGACTTGTCATTTTGGAAGGCAAATTGTGAAAACTCTATTATACCAAAGATCATGGAAAGGAAGAATCCATATGGTGGTTTCCATACTTTTCCTATCTCACCCCTTATAACGCACAGCATCAGAGAATCTCTAACACTGAATCTGAAGCACTTTTCAGTTCTAGTGTTCTTCACTTATTGACAGTAATATACCTAAAGGTGATATTTATTTGACATTGCATACTTGAACATTAGGTAGAACTGTTCCCTACATAAAACACTGGATGCATACTTATATTATATATATAAATACACACACAAACATATATTTTAAAAAATCAATTTGATGTCGTATTGATTTTTTTTACCTGTAGTAATGACAAATCTCCTGTTTGAGTGTAGCTAACAAAATTATTTTTAACATATTTTTTAGAAATCTTAAAATTGCCTTTGCACTGAAATATTTTTCAATACTGTAGCTATTTATATCTGTTTTACGCATACATTTGTTAACACACCATTTCTATTTTTAAGTGAATGTTTTAGACAATTTTTTTATACTTATGAGTTTTGGATCTCCAGAATTTAGCTTCTAGTGGAACTGTGGTTGAATGTTGAAAATCTGATGAATGTTAAAATGAAAAATAGATTTGTTCTCCCAGGGTCATCCAAAGCTACTAGTTATTTATATTTGCTTGTGCTTGTGAATATTAGCTTTTAACGTGGCAATACTTTCTGCTTCCAATTGACTGCTGCTAGTTGTATTTTTATATCTTTGTTCCATAAAGCTTTGTTTGTGTTTTTCATTTCCATCCTTTAGCCTTAAATAAGAAGACACTTGCTTAATGATTTGAGAATGCTGCATGCCTGCTCAGACTACTAACAAAAGGTTTACTGCAACCTTCTTACAACACCACTGATTCCTATAAAATCATTTATGTTCTAAAGGCCAAAAAATTTAACGGTAGCAGCATGGAGAAAAGATCGCATCCTGTGGCAATCTTCTGCCAGCAGAACAAATAATGCTGACAAATTGAGTCCATCCCAGCCTCCCCTCAGCCCCCTGCAAATGTATTCCAAAAGTGCTCCAGAGGGTTGGAGGAGGAGGATCCAATTTAAGCACATTCAGGTGCAGCAGGAGGGAATGCTCAAGGCACAGTGGAAATCTGCTTGCTTAATGCTGAACATAGCCCATTTTTCAAGGTTTCACTTCACTGAATTGGATCCAGACTTTCTTCTGTTTAGGGTAGACTCAATCATTTCAATGGCTCTACACTAAGTAACATTAAATCTGGATCCAACCCATTGTATTGTTTTCGAAGAGAAACAGTTCTGAATTTAAAGAGGCCATTTTGTTTCCATTAAACAACTTTTTAAAATAATCAACACTGTATAGGCTTTAGTTGGGACTTCGATCTTTGCATCATTCCGTTTTCTTTTATAGAAGTATTAAGGTAACACTGCAGCAGAACCTGCATTACTAGCCCCACCCAGACATCCTTGTGCACAACAGTAAAGTGTACATAGGTTGCAGCAAACAAGGAGCTGTGCTGCCAAATAAATGACATATGCTGTCAGTGATGTTTCCCTAGATTTAATTTCTCCTCTAAAGATCAGAGGGCTTCAACTGACAAATCTGATCATCAGTTCAGCCATGTGCTTGTATTTTTCTTGATGAGGGAAGTACATGATTTTTCCTGCACATTGGAGAATGAGGTGGGAAGAGAATTACACATGCATAATACATGTGCAGAAACCTGTTTCCATGCAGCTTGCCCAAATTGGGGAAACTATTTAGGCAATACATAGTAATAATTTACTAATAATAGGAGAGTTGTAATCATAAAGGCGTAAAATTTATATTTGATAGAAAATCATATGAAAAACTGCATTCTGTATAACTCAGATTGCCTTGTCTGAATTGTTGAACCATTAATGATAAAATGTCTCAAACGCTTTAATTATGCACTGGAACTGGTAGGCACCAATCAAATGTTCATGAAGGCTAAATATGTATATTCACTGATGCTCACATTTTTTTCAGAGTAACTATAGCAAGATTCAGTTCTCCTTATTTTCATACCCTTGAGTCATTATTATGTTCAGCTAGTTAGTATAAAAAGCATACCATTTATTCTCCTGCTTGCATCAGCTTATTTATCTCACTTAGAATGCAAGTATCAAAGGATAGTTTGCAATAACAATGGGATTACGTTGAAAAGCTTTAATGGAGTCTTGTCAAAGTATTACGAGAGAAATATGTACATGATTGTACGTTGCACAATTGCACACATCTGTTTATACAGCTTTACCTTTGTCAAAATTATACAAAATTTTAAATATACATTGTCTGAAAGATTCTGTCATGTTGCACAGTCAATGTCAATACTCTTCTATTATATAAAGTAGAATTGACAGAAATGCTCTCGGGAATGGTGGGACATAGTTATCAGTGCATTAACCATTAAAAAAGAAATCTGTAGTCATCAGCACTAAATACTGAAATGTATTTTTAAATGGTACAATGATAGGTGCACTTATCTGATTATATTTCAGCCTTCAAAACTACTGTTTAGACTACTCTATAACAATTAACTGGATCAAAGCAGTCTCAAATATTAAAGAATATCTATATAATATAAATGTGCATTAATGTAAAGTTTATTTTCAGTGCTGTTTTTAAAATTTCATTTCTGTAGATAAATGAATTCTTTATATTCATATTTTGAAACTTTCTGTAGATTGTATAAAGCAGTAGATGTTTAAATCTGCTTGCAATAAAATAAAATTTGCATATTTGTTTTGAGCTGTATGTGTTTCTAGTGAGCAAAAATAATCATGTAAGGAAGAACAAGAAATTTATTTCAGATAGAAAATGCTAATTCAGCATTTCAATTACAAATTATACACTGTAGGAATTTATTAATGTGCACCTTTCATTATGAAGACAGAAAATATTGGTGCTTCCAGGTGCTCAAATCACTGGGTACAGTACTGGACTATTATAAACCTCTCCCGCTTCTTTTTAACCAGTGAAATGAAAAGTACTGTTCCTTCATAGGGCAAGCTTTACCACTACTGCATATATTATTTCAAAATTTTCACAATCAGCCGTAATCTTGGTATTTGACAGCAGAGAGAGTATCAGTTCAGATGTTAAGACGATGTAGGGCTGTCATATTATGCATGAAAGATTTCTGAAGTGTTGCTGTAATAGAATGCTTAGTTCCTCACTGTCACCCTTTACTTACTGCAGTTCATTTGTGCCTACAAACCAAGCTGATCAAATGTGCAGCACATAAAACTATGTTTGGTTTGGCAGTATTGGATATATACATTCCATCTGTAAAACAGTTCTGAACAGCTTCCTGCTTCTATAATTACAGTGTCCCCTGCTCATTCTTTAATGAACTCGCTGCCAGCACCACAATACTGTAATTAAAGCTGTCAGGTCACAGATATTCTGGGACTTGGCTAGAGCCTGATTACAGAATGTAAAAGATCATAACAATGTTCCAAGATTCTATATAACACTTCATATTTCTGTCCTCCTTCATCCAGAATACACAAGATGCTTCTTGATCCCTAAAAAAAAACCCACCTCCAAACCATCTATGAACCATAAAACATCCAGATAAGGACCTAACAATGTAAAGACCTAGCTTATAGTTTCTTTAAAAGCTAACGCCATCTTAAATCTAGCTACTCCTAGACTGGGCACATAGTGCATGCGATAGTTGTGAGCTGCCTAAATAGTATAGTTCCCTTGCAAATTGTCATGATGTCCAAGTTTGGGTGGCTGGGTAGTTTACAAATCATCCTGAAACCCTAGAACAAACTGTTCTGATTAGGTGGCTTGCAATCGGCACATGTGGGCAGAGAAATTAAGCAATTCTAGGTATTTTCCCTCTGTGGCTATGCAAACCCACCCGAAGGCTGCTTTCCGAAGCTCCTCAGGTGGAAGAGACTGTTTTGGTAAAATTAGATGTTTAACACAGACATGATGTTTAACACAGACATGAAATACACTCTAACAACCATGCTCTTATTTCTATAGCATGAAATTGGGTAGGAAGGAGCACTCGGTAAACCTTACTGAGATAATGAAAGAACATATGGAAATAAAGATATTTCAGTTGATCTGAGAGATGTCTTGTCAAAGAAATGCAATGTAATACTGGCATCCATTGCCTCCCTTTCTCCTAAACCCTAACCCTAAAGATTAAAGATAAAGGTTTCCCCATGACATTAAAGTCATGTCTTTAAAGTAATGTCTGACTCTTGGGGGCAGTGCTCATCTCTGTTTCCTAGCCAAGGGAGCCAGCATTTGTCCACAGACAGTTTCCACGGTCATGTGGCCAGCATTATTAGCAAAGCCTCAAATCCTTACAACAGAAGTGGTGAAGTTCAGGCCTCCCATCAGCTCCAACTAGCATGGCCAATGATCATGGGCAGAGTTGTAGATCAGCATCTGGTGTAAAAAAATACAGCAATATTTTTTACTTTTTCAGTGCTGTGTGTTATTTTTTCTTCCAATAAACCATAATCTTTAAAAATCTCCTGCTTTTCACAGTGCAAAAAACTCCAACCCAAATAAAATTGTCTGAAAAATGCTAAAACAATATTATTGCTGCAGGTCCAGTTTTTGGTTTTTTACACTATAAATTCTCTATTTATAAATAGATACTCCTCCATAAACCATTATTAAGTCTCATCATGAACTTATGGACTGATACAATAATAAAAAAGATAAATCAAGCAATGCCTTCTGTAATTGGAAAAAAGAACCCCAAACCATATGCTACAAGCCTCCAAAATGGGTCTGAATTTCTTGAGAGAAAATGAAGTTCTGATTTCAAGACTCTTCACTGAATCACTCTGTTCACTTTCTACAGAATTCCAAAATAGTAATCTAAATCCAAGAAAGCTGCTGCATCCACAGTTCCGTGCAACCATAAAAAAATTCTGTTGAATTTGTTGAGGGACTTGACAAAGCTATTGAGAAGTCAAAGTAAACAATGTCTACCAAATAAGCCCTTGTCCACATGCTTATTGACTCTCTCAAAGAACTCTAAAACACTGGTAAGACAGAATGTACCTCTACAGAAGCCATGTTGGGTCTTCTTCATTAGGACTTGTCCCTCTTTGTGCCTACTGATGCTGCCTCTAATGCTTTCAACCAGTTTACTCAGAATAGATGTTAAGCTAACCAGCCTTTAATTCCCCTGGATCCTTTTTTAAAAATTGTTACATTAGTCATTCTTCTTTCCTCTGGTACACAGACTGATCTTAGGGACTTATTAAATAGTTTCCTAAGAAGGTCAGCAATTTCATATTTGAGCTTTAAGCACTCTAGGATACATAAAACCCTCTGGCCAGATGATTTATTAACTTTCAGTTTATTAACTTTCAGAATTTCACATTGAGAAATTCACCTTTATCACCAATATCTGCCTTAATTCCTCAGACTCCTTTCTAGAATACATAAGCTGCCGCTGCTAATTTCATTTCTATACCACTCTATAGCTAAAGCGACCTGGGCAGTCTACAACAGTTCAGGTCCAAATATCTATTCTATATTCTTGGCTATGAAGACAAATGAACAAAACAAATCATTCAGCTCCTCAGCCATCTCCTGATCCCCCTTTAGTGCCCCTTTAATTCCATTATCATTCTGCCTCTCTAGCTGGTTTCTTTTTTCTGATGCATTTAAAGAATTCTTTTATCATTGGTCTTGATGTTAGCGGTATAGTCCTCAAAATGATGTTATGCTTCTCTCATTCTCTGCTTGCGTCTCTCTTGTGCAAGCTTGTACTCCCTTTAGTTTTCTGCTTTCTCCAAGATTTCCATTTCTTGAAGGAAGCCTTCTCTAATAGCTTCCTTGACTCTAACCCTGTTTCCTCATGTGTGGTATGCATGCTCTCTGAGCTTCTACTATTGTGGTTTTGAGTAATCTTCCAGCACTCTGAAAGCAATCTTCAAGCATTTAACCCACTTCACTCTCTGCTTTAACTTTTTTACCAGTTCCCTCATTTTAGAGAAGTCAAATGTGGTGGACCTCTTTAGCAATTCTCTACCTATCAATATATTAAATCTGATAGCACTGTGGTTTCAATTTCCAACTAATTCAACATCTACTTCATATACTGTATTCTGGAAATCCCCACCCAGGATTAAATCAAAGATTGCCTCTCCTCTAATTGGTTCCATGACCAAATGTTCTGGGCATTGGTCATTTAGGACACCAAGAAATTTTACCTGTCAGGACTGGAACATGTATTTCTCCAGTCAGTGTACATATGGCTACTTATTACAGCATTGCCTTTGTTGGAGGCCTCCCTGATTTCATTCTCCATGTAGAAATCACCTTGAACATTCTGGTCTGGAGGACAATATGACCAAATTAACCACATTTAACCACTCTCTGTGGAATCTCCCACCAAAGGAAGAAACTTTTCTACCAGCTAATGAGGGAATGCATTGAAGGTTCCATCCCCTCCTGCAACTACTCACAATTTGGCCTCTACTGACTTTTTTTTTTAAACCAAACTACACCACCCAAAACTCTGACTTAAGGATGGTCATGTTTATCAACATTTCTGTTTCAAGCCAACTTAGGAACTTGTGCTTTTTCTGTGACGACAAGTAGAGCAGTGTTACAGCAGTTTTTGAGTTTCAGAAATGAAGATCAGTCATTGTACTTGCTTCCCAAAAAGGACTGATAGGTATAATCTGATGTCAGTAATACCTACTGTTGGCTAATTCATTCAGACTGTAAATTCCCATTTTAAGACTAGTTCTTTCTAAAATGCACAGTCATCCCTTACTTCATTTGTTCTGGGAACTGGAAAGTTTGCATGGTTTTGTGAACTTGTGGTTGGTTCTATTAAAAGAACGACTGTGTATTTTGAATGACTATGTTGATTTTAAATATCGTAGGTTATTGTAGATAAATATTTTCATGGAAAATAGAAAAAGCAGGAAATTTAGGTAGCCCCAAAAAGGACTACAAAGATGGATTCTGTACAGGAAATTCTTATACTCCACTACTAGTTATATTGTGGTTTGGAGGAAGGTTGGCGAGCGGGAAGGCAGTTTGCAAGAGGTACATGAGAGTGCAACTAAAAGGCTAAGGGGAAAAAAGATGGAAATCCGAGGGCAGGCCCATATTCGCTTATCTAAGATTTAGGTGAGGAACAAGACTTGCAACGTGTTTTCCCTGATCAGTTCTGCATCCCACCTTAACATTCCAATCTATTCTAATCAATTTCAGTTTTTCTGTAGCAGAACCCTCATTTAGCCCTGACACCAGCGAACAGTAGCCTGTGATCCACTGGGAGAATGCAGTGGATTGCTGCTGCTTTTCTGTGCTGACTGTGTCCGTTCTCCTTCACGTGTTCTATGCCAGAACTCTCTTCTGGTATGCTAGAAGTCTCCCCTACATGCTGCCATTTTTTGGATCCCTCCCCAAAATGTTCTTTTCTAGGAAACTGCTCATTTAGATCAGAGCTAGGGACCATGAGGTGCTGTTAGACTTCAGGCCAGGGCTGATGGGATGTGCAACCCAACTTAATCCCTTTCCGCTCAGTTCTGTGCTCAGAAGTAAGTCCCACTGAGTTCAGTGGGGGTTATTCCCAGAAAAGTGAATACAGGAGTGCAGCTTAGTCCTCAACTCATTCGTCTACATCCATAGTTCTCATTTCTGTGTTTCTTCTGTGCATACCCCTACTCATGTCTCCCCTCTCTCTCTCTCTCTTCCCACTGCCATCACCCTGTGACAGGCAGGACTTTTTCTTATT